TAACTACAATATGAGCTAAGTTGCCCAGAACTAGAAGTGTCAAAAACTTTACTCTAGGCCCGGCAGGAACACTGACCAGTCAGGCCAGAGACACAAGGGTTGAAGGAGTATCCCTAAGTCACGGGGCTGTGCCAATTCTGCAGCTTTACAGGGCTGGTCCCTTTGTGCTGGTGCAAGAGCTCTCATTCTTCCCAATCCACTGCAAACATTTCACCATTTTAACAGTTGGGATGGAAATTAAGCATTAGGGTACACCAACTGAAAACCTACCTCTACATAGATTAATAGGAGAAAGGAAAGAGAAACTTAGCCAGGAGGTGAAGCCAGGGTTGGAGACAAATAATTCAGCACAGAGCTTGTTTAATAAACAAGACAACAATTCCATGAGTAATACAGAGATATTCGGATATAGAAAATGGCTTCAAATGAAATGATTAGAATCATTAAAATTTGGGGATGTCAATGAAGGGATTCTGATTATGACATACCATTTTATAATTTTTTATGTGTATGAGTTTTTCCATATATATATATGCACTGTCCCCTCAGAGGCCAGCAGATGACATCAGAATTGCCTGGAATGGAGTTATAAGATGGTTGTGAGAAACCACATGGGAGCTAGAGTCAAAACCAAGTCCTGTGCAAAGGGCTCAAGTGTCCTTAACCACTGCACTATTTCTCCTGCCCCTGGCATACCATTTGGAATGATACAACACAAAGCTTATAGAGACACTTTAATAGTCTTAGAAATATTTGCTTTGGGGAGGATTTTTTTTAATATATGAATTAACATTATTATCTGAATTTTTGTATAAAAGATGTGCAATATTATAGATAAAACACGGAATCTTAACCCCAAAACCTAAAAAAAAAGTAAGGCAGAAATGAACATAGAGAAAACATGTAAGGCACTTCTGTGAAGGATAAAATAAGACTAGCCAAAGCTAAGGTTTAGCTAACTGAGGAAAACCTTTCCTTTACGGGATGGTACCATGGGGAAAGCTTAGTTCTGACCCTAACATCTATTTATAACTAATTAACAAATTGCATGCCTATCTCTAAGAGTCTACAAAACATTCACACTTTCTGAATATCTCTTAGGGTTAAATGTAAAGTGTATCAGATTAAATGTAGACTATAACAGTTGGTACGGGACTTTCAAACATCATGTATTGGAAAGAACAACACTCATCATTACATAATAGTCCTTTCCTTACTCAGCTTCCTCAGCTCTGTCATACAGAGCATAAACTTAGGAGGAAGTTTCTTTTTAAAGCCCCTGAATAACAAAAATAAATGTCACAAGGGTCATACAACTAGAACTTAAGGATTGTCTTGCTGAAAAGTCCCTTCAGTCCTCCATCAATGCCTGTGTCCTGTTGCGCACCTTTCTAAAGATCATGATTAATGTTTGTTAATAAATGAGCTTTGGGGCTACACCTAAAGGGGTGGAGGATGGGCATAGTTAGGCACAGGTACAGAGGGGTGGAGGATGGGCATAGTTAGGCACAGGTACAGAGGGGTGGAGGATGGGCATAGTTAGGCACAGGTACAGAGGGATGGAGGATGGGCATAGTTAGGCACAGGTACAGAGGGGTGGAGGATGGGCATAGTTAGGCACAGGTACAGAACAGCAGTAGGAAGAAAAGGCTGGCACTAAAATGGAGACCAAAGAGTGGACCATTGTCCCTAGGGTAAAGTGCCCCATGAGACTAGAAGGGGGACTAGACAGTAATTGACGCTCGAGAGCTAACTATATGAAAAGGCATATTCTAAATCAAAACTCAAAATGGTTAAGGAAGATGAGGAAAGCAAGAAGCAGTTGTGGGTTTAAATCAATTAAAATCAGTTATCAATGACACGAGAGAGATGAAGCATCACTCCATCAACTTTGTAATTGCTCCCTATTTGGGTGGTGTCCACTGCACACAATGAGCTTTTCTTCTTGCTGGTTCTGAAAACACACACACACACACACACACACACACACACACACACACACGGTTCCTCCTGCTTGTAATTCAGAAGCACTAACCCAGTAGTACTTCTGCCTTTGACGGTAGGTAGCATTCCCTTCTAAAACTCTACCCACTGATATTAATGTTTTCCCCATAGTCACATGAGGGGTTTAACATTCAGAAATCCTCCAAACAAGTCAGTGTTATTTTTTATCCATTTCCTTAAGTTAAATCTAGAAAGTTTCATTTCACATATGAGACATCAAGATGTAAAATTACATTAGGAATAAAAAAATGTGCTGGGGGTGTAGATCAGTAGAGTGATTGTCTAGCAAGCATGGGGCCTGGGTTCCATCCCTGGCACTGACAAAGAAAAGATGAAGCACATTAAAGTGACAAGAGCTGTAATCTCAAAAAAGTACGTAGCAGCAGGTTAAATAACACCAATCCCTAATTTTGACTCATGTCCACGAGCACCAATCTAAATGCTTATATCTGGCTCAGCTATGGCACAGAGAAACACTCAGTTTCCATTTATAGGTGCAAATAAATATTGAAACTGTGGGCCTAAGAATATGAGTGAATAAAGACCATCTGGGAGCACAGAGGAGGGAGCACCATGGGTAGCGGTCCTCCAAAGGCAGAGCAGCACAATCAGGAAGGCAATACAGATCAATTTGGACATTTCGTGCTTGGCTCTGGGAAGAACTTCCACAAACAATTCAAGAAAAGTGGCTTTTTCCAGGTGGAATTCTTAGGAGAGTTCACACTTAGAGAATCACCAAAACAGAGTGCAACGGGGCAATCAAAACTCAACATAACCCAATATGAGTGTGGAAACACCCAAGTGAGGAAGTGGGAAGTTTTAAAGTCAAAGAAGAGGAAGAAGAAGCTGTTTTTATTCCAGGAAATCTGGTCACATTCCAGAGGGATCTTCTTCTTCGGTACCCACCTGTTATCCTCAAATCTTGGAACTTGAATGAAGTGGAAAATTCAACCTGAGCATGTGCAGAAAAATAGCTCTATATTGCCCCCTAGTGCTGGTCAGCCCCACCTCTCCTTAGGCTAACAACTGTAAGGTGAGTGACTAGTTCCCTCTTCTTTCTACTGACTTCCTGCTGCCAACCCTCCAAGTGCTAAACATAGCCCAATCCTCTGCCCACAGATTAGGAAACTAGACTATTTTTAGCATCATGCATCTTAGGCATGAGAAAGGCCCTGCTTCAGATGGCAGCAGGTTGTGTGTGGCCTAGCTTACTGAACTCACCTCTTCTAAGAGTGTGAACCTACCCAGTGAAGTGGCCAATAGCTGCAGGCTGCCTGAAAGCTTGGGGGTGGGGGGCACAGCAGAGTGGTGATAGCACGTGATCACAAGAGAGAGCTACAAGGAAAGAAGGTGAGGCGCAGGTAGAAAGGACTTTTGGAGATGCTAGGACAGTACGATAGGAGGTAAGGGACCAGAAAAAGGTAGAAGAAAGAAGGAAGGCACCATTGTCTTTGGAGACACTGATCCAGTAAGAAACAATATTTTGAACTGGACACTCATTTCTTTTACGTGAGAAAGAACAAAGGTTGGTCAGATCTACTTCCTACCTGGGTACAGCTGGTAATGCGACTTCTTTGATCACTTTCCTCAGCCTTCTGCAGGCCCCATGATTATAGATAGATCCTTAGGCTGCCCTTTGATCAGCAGTTCAAGGAGCCTGCAGGTGCCACGTGCCATCACATTAGCAAGTAGTAAGGAGCAACCACAACAATATTGGCTGATAAATGCAATACTGTATCTTGGTGCATAAGCAACAAATAGGAATAATGTCTACCAGAAATGCTTATGCTGTGGATTTCAGGACTATAACACTTTATAGAGTTTAAATCCATGGTTGAAGCCCGGAAACACCCCCACATACACACACTATAAAGAAAAAGTCAGCATGACTTAAAAGTACAGTGCACTCCAGTCTGGGTTCTAAGAATGCTGTTTAAATTCATCTCACCTGATTAGTGAAGAAGTTGCATTGTAAACAGATGGCAAAGTTCAAAAACATACACATTTCCTTTCAAATAGCAGCAAGAACCACCACTTGTAAACAGGGTGTTTAATATTCCAGTTTTAGACAGTCTAGATTAACATTGTGGCTTCATGTTCAGTATAAAATTTCTATTTACAAAGGAGTCTCAAAAATGACTTCATAATGGTAGATCAAGAGCAAGAGTTTAGAAATCGAATGATGTAAATCATATGGGGTTCAGAGGCTAAGCAAATTACACACCCCGAAGCTCCTCTGGCCTTATGAAAGGAGTCTTTCTCCAGCTCCGTGCAATCCCAGCCCAGGGGAACTTGCATCTGAGAGTTTTCTAAACATTTCAGGTACACTTGAAAGCTGAAAGTAATTCTCATTTCCTATGCAGGATTAAGTCGTTTCCAACACACACAAAATAGCAGTCATTCACTAACACGAAAAACAGTACCAGAGAGGTAAGGACTGCACAAAGGCACGTTTTTTAAAAAAGTGCGAGAGAAACATTTATCTCATTTTCCTGAAAACGTTCACGTGGCCTCTTGACCTCTGTAATTCTCACCTATTTCTTAATTGATGCCGTCCTACCTACAGTGTTTCAAAGAAAGCGGCTGATACATTTCCTGAAGTCCCCCTCACTCCCACCCCACCCCCAAATTTATCGGCGTAAAGTCAAGGTACAAGCCAAGACTCATTCATTTTGGATCTCTTTCTAAAGGCACTTCTTGAACTTGTAACTGGCAAGACGCTGCCCTGCAATGTGGTCTGAGCTCACTTTTCCAATAGCTCCCAGATCGTCCCCTCCTAGTCGAGGCTGAGACACTCCCGCTACACAGTGACCACCCCAAAGTTGCAAACTCGCCCCCCAGAATCACCCAAAGTGCACGGCGAAGCACAGGGAGTGCATCTGCACCGCCAGAGACGCGACCACGGGCTCCCGGGCTGGGGGAACCTCACACGCCAACGCACAATGCCAAGGGGAACGCAGAGCGAGACGCGGGAAGGGGAGGAGGGGGAGACTCACCGTTCTGCTCCTTGTCGCTGGAGACCTGGAACTTGCTGCTCAGGTTGGACTCAGCCCGAGTCCCGTGTCTCTGGCCGGCCAGGGCAGATGTCAGCAGAAGAAGGCCGAGGAGGAGCATTTGGCTGACTGGGGCGAGGGCTCACTCGCGGCGGGCACTGGGGAAGCGGCGACTCGGAGTCTCAGCCCCGCCAGGGGAAGGCTGCGCTGCGGTGGAAGCGCCGGGCCGGCTCTGGCAGCGGAGACTCGCAGGGTAGTTTCCACATAATCCCATCCAAAACTTTTTCCTAGAGCCCTCTTCTGTGTCTCCAGTTTTTGAAAAGGATCAAAGCAAAACCTGGACCTGAACCAGTTTCCCAAGGTTTAAACAAATCCTGAGCTGTGCCGAAGTGCCGGGGGTGGGGGGAGGCGAGGGAGGAAAGAGGGGGTGGGGACGCGGGGGAGCGCGGAGGAGTCGCCCGAGACTCGCAGGGAGCACCTGTCAGTTCGGGGGGCAGGACGGCGGCGTGGACTCGGGGTCGCGCCCAGCCAGTCTGGGAGCCAGGTCGGCAGCGAGGCGAGCACCTTGGGATCAATGACAAAGCTGCGGGTCCGGGCGGCCGGCGGCGCCCCACCCCCACCCGGGGGGAGGGGACCGACCCCGGCGGGCGCCGCGCGGGTGCCGGGGGGCAGCGAGGCCTCGGGGGTGACTCGGGGTCAGCCGCGATCCGCGTGCCCGCCGCCTCCGAGCCGCCCCTGGACTGGATCCGCGGCCGCCGAAGTTCCCCCCGGGTGCGGGAGGCCGGCTGCAGGAAGCCCCGGACCGTGGGCGGCTCGGGATCCTGCGCCGTCCGGTCCCTGCCGCGCGGCGCGGCTGGGTGCAGAGGTGGGGCGCGGCGGCTCGGCCCCGGCTGCGCAGGGAAGGCCCGGCCGGCCGGGAGGACCTCGCTTGTCCCCTCCCCGTCTCCACCTTCCCCCAGCGGGCGGCGCGCGGGGCGGGCGCGGGGGGCGCGGGCCGCCAGCTGGCGGGCCAACAGGTGCTGGCGCAGACAGGGGGTGCTGCGGGGCCCGCGGCATCCGGAGCCCACACTGCGCCGAGGAATGCCGCCAGGCGGCCCTGGCTTCCTTTCCCCAGGGCGCCCCTAACCCCAAATAAGGAGCCGTGGGCTGCCGAAGGGTGCTGCGAAGGCGAAGAGAGGAAAGTGGGAAAAGACGGCCACTCCTCCCGCGCTCCCTGGCAGTGACTTGACATTAATTTCTGAGGGGATCCCCACTCCCAAAGGGCTTTGCCAAGATGATGCCACAGTTTCTGCACTGAAGAAAGGAGTGAAGTTGAGCTCTAGATCCCTCCACTGTGGTGCTGTCTGAAGGAGGGTCGATAAAGCAGAAATAAAGATGCGTGGCCCTTTGGGGCTGTAGAGATGGCTCAGTGATTAAGAGCACATGCTGATGCTCCTCTTCCAAAGAACCTGAGTTCAGGTTACCAGCGTCCTCACAACTGCCTGTAACAACAGCTCCTGTGGGAGTCGATGTTCTGTACAAACCCAGACACACATGTGCACGTAATTAAAAATAATAAAAATAAATCTTAGAAAAAAGGCAGAAGACCCATGTAACGTTCATTGAAGTGATGCACCGCCGTACCCCAATGCATACCGAAGGAACTGCAGCAGCCAAAGAAATCCCTGCCTCGGGAAGCTTGGGTGCTTCTCGGCACCTCTTGTGAACGTCCAGTTCCTGGATTGTCTAGGGAACACAAAGTGTGACTTTTCACATACCTTCCTAGGCTATCCCAAAGCACCTGATGGTTGAACCAGTTGCCTTCATGCAAGAAGGTTGAGAAAGCATCCAAATCCACATATTGTCTACAATGAGGAAAAAACAAAAACAAAAATCATGTCAGTAGGGCCTAGGGTGGTTCCATGTGAGATACATGTGTCCATGTGTCTGTGACAGGATCCAACATGCTTTCCTTATCAAGGAGCAGAAAATCCTTATGAAAGTGTTGAAGGCACAAACATCAAGTCTGAAAGCGAAACAAAAGATGCATCTTCTTAGGTAATAAAATGAAAATAAAAATAAAACTCTATCAAGCCAGTGCCTTGGCAAGCAATCAGATGTCTTACCAAACCTTTTATTAACCTGTCAGTACACACAATTCAACCACAGGGGTGCTTGGAATGCGAGAGAACACCAAGGTAACAGTGTTCCTGAAACTCAGGCGTGGTTGGAGACAGGGATAAACTACGGACCAGTCCCCTTGCTGATACTCACTGTCGAATTGTTATGCCTTCTCTCTGTCTTTGACATCACTAGGGACAACCAGCATGAATTCTCTGCATGTCATTTCTTAATCCTCTTCTTTTTTCTCTCTTCAGGATGTTCATTAGTAGACTTCATGCTTAGAGTTCATGAAGTCTTAAACTCTATCCCAGCACAAAACTAACAACAAACAAAAATTTACTTAAAATGACTTAAATTCTCCTGTGAGATATTTATGAACCTGTTCTATTCATTCTTTTGTATTTATCTTTTTTTATTTATTTATTGTTATTTTATGTGTATGAGTGTTTTACCTGCATGTATGTGCATATCCATCATATGCACGCAAGTGCCCATGGAGGTCAGAAGAAAGCATCAGATCCCCTGGAACTAGAGATACTGACAGTTGTTAGCCACCATGTGGGTGCTGGGAATCAAACCCAGATCCTCTGCAAGAGCAGCCAGGCTCTAACTGCTGAATCATCTTTCTAGTCATTCATTCATTCATTCATTCATTCATTGTTATCCTTTTGTTTCTACCTTCACAGGACTGGATATAAAGGCAAATGAGCACCTCACTTGGACTTTAAGAAGTTTACTTTTTAATGGTAATAGCCTTACTATTTTATTCAAGTTAGCAACACCTCAACATCAGTGAGATTCCAAAATTGCACAACAAATGTGTACCAAAAGTATTTTTTAAATTTTGAATGTGAAAATAAATGCTGTCATACCTTATGAATTAATGTGTTTGCAATTCATTATTCTCTAGTCTTTTGTTATTGTTGTTTGTGTTTTCGTTGTTGGTTTGCTTGCTTTTTGAGACAGGGTCTCCCTCAGATGGCCTTGAATTCATCATGAAGAAAGACCAAGCTGGCCTAGATTTCACTGAGATCTACCTACCTCTATTTCCTGAGTGCTGGGATTAAAGGTATAGGCCACTCTGTCTGACCAGTTTTTCTAATTTTTCTAAATTTAGTTTTCTAATCAGTATTTTTCTAAATGAGCTCATTGGACAGCCAAACAATTGCAGTTCCTGACCACCCACATAGGGTGTGTGTGTGTGTGTGTGTGTGTGTGCAGACTTAATTCCTTTGCTCTCAGGAGATTGCAAGGGTGATGACTAAGCTTTATTTTGTATCATTTCATATTGGCTAGAACAGAGCCTGGCACAGGGGGATCATAAATAAACAGGCTGGACTGACTGACAGGTTTCTTTATTGGACTCACTTACATTCTCCCTGGAATTTCAGTGCGAACGTTGTATTTGAAAAGTTACAGATGATCTAGAATAATACTCCACCTCTGTGTTTCACCTCATCCATATTCTGCAGATTGATTTGACAATTGCCTTATAAATAAAGCTAGCCAGGTGCTCTTCAGTGACCCCGAGACAAAATCACACTCATATTGGCTGGTTTCCTTTCACTGTATGCACAGGGTTGATGTTTGAACTGCTTTTGCCCTTGGCAAAGTTGATTCTTTTTAACACTTTGTCCTCTACCAGTATCCCTGTTCTCTTTTGCCTTTAAACTTTCCGCAGAAAAGTAAAAATCCTTACACTGAAAGTCAGTTTTACAAAATCCAGAGTCTGTGCAATTACTAAACAATCTATTTTGAATGAATATGGCTTTGTTTTAGCCCGAGGCATTTTTCTTGAGGAGAGGCATCTGTGCCGCCAACTAGGAGAAAATCATTTCAAACATTCTTTGTGGTTTTCATGGTTTTTTAAACCTTGGGAAGCCATGGGCATGGCTGTTCCTGCTGGATGTGTGGAGAGTAAGTGCTACCTACAAGCTGCTACTGGAAAGCAGAATGCACTTGATTCCTAGGAGTGATGACCAGCTTGGGGCAGGGATGAGGCATCATGAAGAATTTTTTTGTTTCTAAAACTTGAATTAGTCTCATAAGATACTCCACTAGCTAATCACTAAAATAATGGGCAAGATGAAATCCTGAGGATATATTTATTACCAAGACAAAAATTAATTCAAATTTCCTTTTCAGTACACACACACACACAGTGGTATTTAAGACTTTCCCCAGACATTTTAGTATTGTAGTGTCAGGTAATTAAGCATGAGTTCCTAAAGTTCAGGAACCTTCATATAAATGCCCATCCACCCTGTTTCCAGAGTGGCTAACAATTAGCAATTATACCCAGAGATGGAAAAGTTTGGGCCCAGGAAATCAGTAGTAAACAAAGCAAATGGCACAGACCAGAGAAGAAATAATGTCTGTTTGGGGGACAAAATAGAGCAATAAATAAATAGCTGAAGTGCTCAGTCTAAAAGCTATTCTCTTATCAATCTGCTTTCTGCGCCCCCCCTCCCCCCGTATGAATGCTAGGGGCAGTTTTCAAAAAAGAAGAAACAGAGGTTGGATTTCCAACATAGAAATAGTGAAGCATACTTTTTCTTGCATTTTATTCTCCTGGTATCAGATAATTCTACCTTTCGTTGTACTCTGAGAAAAGTTTATCTTCATGGAGGGGGAAGACAAATTTGCTAAGACCCTGCTCTCCAAGGAAGGGAAGCAGTGTTTTTTGGCTTTGAGGCAGGGAGTGGAGCGAGCTAGAGGTGGAGAGTTAGAGGTGTGTGGTCCAAGAAATGGGTGACAAAGACTACTGTTGAAGTGGCCCTCTGTGGCCTTTCTCACTGGTATAAAGCTGCTGTTTCCTTTTTGAAATCATAGTATGTCTGCACAGATTCTTCCATACTCTCAGAAGTGCTTCTCTGACTCAGACTTCAGAGAAAGTAAGCAGTCAGCAACAGCCCCCAAAGAAAGAGGCGCTCTGGTAACCCTGGAGGCACCACAACAAAAGATCATTTCAGGAGGATCAAGGAGACCTGGAACGGAGTCTGGCTTCACCTCTTAACAAACAAGAACCCTCTCTGAACCTTGCTTTCTTTTTCCTAAGAAATCAGTGCTGGATTCTGTCCCAGACCTCTAACTGCTTTAGAATTCTTTGATTTTTTTGAACTATTGTAGTTAATGATGGCAATATTTTTTCAACCTCATGAGCTTCTGTTATAATGACTTCAACAGAGATGTCCTAGTCTCAATCTAAGTTGTCTTATTGGCTGGCTAGAAAAATGATGAATTGATACGTCTTCTTAAACTTGCCCAGCCTAAACAGACCCACTTACTGTATTAAGATTATTACAGTGTAGAAAGAAGTTCTCTTGATAACCCAAAAGAAGAAGAGAGGAGTTTAGAAATCACTGGCTTGAGCAAACATCAGAAATCTTACTAGAGTTAAGGAAACTAAATAGACTGTGTGTAACTACATTTTAATTTTTGGTATTTGGCTGTTATCATAATTAGAACCCAAAAAGAAATAAGTATTGTTTCTTTATAATTGGGCCTGCCCCCAAGTACGTATCAAAGTAAAGAGAAATGGCTAGCTTAGAAACTGACTTGTAAAAGATCAGGAAATAATAGTGTCATCAGCCAAGAACAGAAGGTCAATTTCAGATTGTTCTATAGAGTCACACGGGTGGAATGCGAAGCTATCTGCCGAGCAAGGAGTATCCCATAAAAGCACAGGCAGCTCTGTGCTTGGCCCGATCTTAGAGTCAATATGATGTCATGTTTCTCTCCCTTGAAATCATTTGCATGATATGAAGGCT